TGCAGGCGACCCTTGTCTATATCGTCGCTACACACAGGTGCGGGGGTAATCAAATTGTAGAATTTATCATCAACTAAACTTCTGATCTTTAGTCTTGAAGCTATCATAAACGTTTCAAAAAGTAAGAGATTTTGGTATAAAGTTTCGGATCTTATCAACAAACCTACTAACCCCAATCGCAAGGGGATATCTGAAGACTATTTATTCCCTGATAGCACAGAATAAAAGACGAGGGGCACCAACCTCACGAAATTAATGCCAATCTAGGGGAATTTCTAAATTTGTGATTCGGCTATGCGTATTAATATACGTTTTGAAATGATAAGTTCTGAACGTTTTATATGTGGCATATATTTCATCTAATGTATCATTGAAAAAGGTCCGCCCAGTGAAGTTGATCCTGAGCGGTCACCATCGATACACCGCAAGGGCATTTACAGATATAGCTGCAGCTATTTCAACGATTCATCGTAAGCAATGTAATCCGGATAAACCAATCAGCGAAAAATGTTTCATCTTTTATTCCAATCCATAAAATGTCTGAGAAATACTTCCTCCAGGTGTGGTGGAAGACAGATGCAAAGCAAACCCGCATCTTGTTCAGATTACGCTCGAAACACCGGTAAAAAAGGGCATGATTAATTAAAATAAGGTCTCTGCCACTTCCAAATTACATTCTCAGAATACATTTTTGAACACTTGTTCCTAAAAACACAAGTCTGGCGCCCAGGCCTTTTCTTCCTCTTTGTTTTGAATTTTATATTTCAGTACGCTAGTAATATCATCGATCAAGAATTGAAAAGAGAAATTGGACAAGGCGCTGGTCTAGAGAGACGCACATATTTCAAAAAGTGTTTTAAGTGAGGCATAGTTTGACTAATTGATTTTACAAAAATGCCATGTTTTTTTCTGATAATTTAATTAATTCTGGTCATTCATAAAATGCTGATGTCTAAAGAGTAAAGAAGTTGGACGATGATGCTACAAAATGACGATATTATGATGAAAAAGATAACCGGGATACGAGATGATGACGAAAACAGTTTACAAGTCCGGCCGTCCAGTAGTATTGTGTTTACCTTAACAGTTAGATGCAAAAGCAATTATGATATACAATATAATAATTCCGAAAACGTCAGATTGGCATTCATTTTCACGCCAAACTACGTAAAAATACGCCAAAATACGCCAAATTACGTAAATGAAAACCGAACCATGAATCATCTTCCCAGTTTTATTTTTAGCATTATATATCGGTGGTGACAATTCTATGGTGCCAGTGTGCAATGATGGCAAGTAAAGTGCCTTCCACGTAAATAAAGATAATGCAGTGAAAAATAATTGTAATCAACGTTTGCGATAAAATAATGAGTCTGCAATGTCGTGGGAATGAGACAGAAATAGGAGAAACAAATTCCAAGCTCGTTAGAAATCTAAGACCCTCCACACCAATATATTTCTCAGCCATGAATGTCCAAGCGTATGCCAAGAAACTGAATACATAAAATGCCATGGTCCAATTTCTAAAATGACGTCGCCATTTAAAATCTTAAAGTGATTTTAACTTTGTTAGAACAAAAAGTTGTCATTTCAAAATAATCATTCATGCACGGAACGATACAGGAAAGTCATGTTTTTCAAGAAAACTCTAAAGATAAACGTTTTAAGTATGGGAAAATTATTACATTTACTTTAGTAAGACAATATTGAAAGACCTTTCTGATACTCCTCATATCATTCTGTTTTGAGACAAGCAGTGTACGTTTCTAGAAAAACTGACATGACGCCATGCGGTCTCAGAACGATTGGATATAACATTTTTCACGGTCTTTCAAAAGAATGGTATTCTACTCTGTGTTACAAACATGAAAATTCAAAATGAGTATTGCTACACTTGGCTTTTTGATCATATCTTTCAATGAGTACTGAATAAATGTATATGTTTTAGTATCACCATGAAGAAAATCAATGTAGAATATAATTAAAGCATGAAATATGTTTTAACTCAGTTAAAAGTAAACAAAAATGACCAATAATAAAAAGAAGATGTGTCAATATTTTCTCAAGAAGTGATAATTGCCATAATTATGATGAATCTCATTTTGTGTTATACAATTACAAATATTATATTAAGTTTTATGCATATGATCATGTTTTATTGTTGAGTTATTTCTTTAATTTCATATGAAAAATTCCTTTTGTATGAAAAATACCGTTTGTTTATTTAAAAAGAGTTGAGTTTGTTTTTTTCTTTTAAATGTTGACTCGCTACGTCAAAATATGAGAAAATGAAACTTGCACCCGGCCACCACGTCGAATGTGGGTCCCGCTGGAGCATTCATACAGAGATACTTGACCCCCGGTTCAATGTGCTCATGGGAGACGTAATTGATGACTCTCTCTTAATTGAATTAACAGTCGCTAATGAGCAATGATTTATTATAAGCTCTAAACAGAACGTCTAAAAATCGTTTGCATGGGAATTTTGTGTATTATTGCTCAAGTGGATATGTCATTTAAATTATCCAAGTTGCAATATCACATTTTTGCACGTAATCTTGTTGATCACATTTGGAGAAAACGAACCTCACTGATTTTTTCAGAAATAACATTTTTGTCAATGTGTTTGATAGGATAGTCGATAAAATGAATATGAATGATTATGAAAGTAACTCGACAACACCTAAATTCAATAGCTTGCACATCAGTTATCGTTCTATAAAGCGGCGAAATATTATGGACTAATAAATTCAGGATAAATTATTTCCTCAAGATTATTTATGTACATTAATTCCTCTGAAATATTTTTCAATTTTAGATTGTGGTAGGGGGTATATAATTTATTCGAAGTAAGGAATGTTATTCCTATAGCTATTGTTGTGTGATATTTTGTGTTACCATATCACCCCAACCCGGATAAGGCCAAGGTACAATCCCCACCAATGAATACCGCTTTTAGCCCATGACAGAAGGACCCTAATAAGTTAAAATTAGTTGAAAAGGTGAAATATTTTATTCATGATGAATACGAGGTTGATGCGGGATATACTGGGCGGGATTATTCGGGGTTTGTGTATGGGATGTATATATGTGTATCTCATACTTGAGTGGGTTTGGGGTAGATATCACCCGGGAATATATATCGTATCTGAGGAGCGGGCAGGATATACTGTATATGTCCCGCTCCAGGCCAAATGCGGGCAGATATAATATATCCATCCCGCTCCCGGGAATTTTTCAAAAGTTTAAATATCAAAAGTTTTAATTTTTTAATTTTAAAATTTAATTTTTTTAAGTTTAAATGTTACAATTTAATTGTATTGAACAAAAAGAATAGTACGAAAATGTTAAATATAAATATCTTGTCATATGAAAAAGGTAGAAAAGGTCCCTCGGGAAGATATATTGTATATCCCTCGGGATATTCCCTGTATCCAAAACCTCCCAGTGCATAACCCCTATATATACAATTTGTGAAATATTGTTTCAATCTTTTATTCAAATAATTCCATTTTGCAAAAACTTAATGTTCCTGAAAATGGTCATCTTTCTTCAAAGGACTTAATTTATGCTTAAATTCAGAATAAAATTATATATTAATACTATATACTAGGTACCCTTGCTGCAACGATGGAAAATGGTGTAATGTAACTTCTTAATGGGAAGTAGAAGTCTACCTTTAAAAACGTTGGGTTATTCCTTATTTATAATATATGAGTAAGATAGTACACTTCACATACAGGATAACTAAACAGACAATAATATTTTAGTATCTTTGGTATTTTATTTGTAGATTCGACATGTTCATTTACAATGCCAGTATCATTAAACTGTTTGAGTTCTATTTTACTAACCAATCAGATTGCGGCTTAACTTTTTCTCCAAAAATATCCGCTAATTAAATAAAATATCATTTAAAGTCATGAATCAAGCCTAGTAAGAGCGGCACCCCTTCCTGCTTGTATTTTATGGTGATGATTAGAGACATTTAAATTTAGGGAACTACAAGATCGCATCGCTGATAAGATAGAGCATAGATTGCCATCTAATGGTCGTCTCGTGTTTTGCTTAAAAAACCCGAAACTTGACTCCCTATGATTATAATGTGGCTAGACAACATCATTGAAAAAATGCGTTTTACTGAGCGATATACCGAGCAATACAGGGTGTCCCATATTAAAGTGTATGTACTGTACATATATCGCCTTCATATAAAAGATTGAGTATAAATTGTAACCTTTATTTGAATGTTGTTATTCGGTGCATTAAAATTGAATAATTAAACATAGATTGGGTTGCATTTCTAACAAGTTTGTAAACAAAACTCCAATTACAAATTGGGAAATAAAAGATACATACATACATACATACATACATCGCCTGTATATATAATAGTACATGTTGCAATTAACATTAAACAGTTAAATTGTTTGACTTACATAAATTATGATTCCAATATGAATGGTCACCCTGTAAAAAAACCTTGGGGAAATAGCGTGCTTATGTTAGAAAATATTTCAAAAATTAACTTCAGCTAATAAAGTTCGATTAAGGATAAACCATCCCTTATAAAATACATAACTCTTAATTTATTTAAATTACCCTAATCATTGACTAGGCATAGACTATTGCAAGCTACTCACTGAAACACAGTTTTATAAATTAGATTTCAGAAAATCTAATGAGAATAAAAAAGAAAGTTTCCTAATGGGAACATCTAAAGCAGAAACACTTCTTGTAAGAGCTTGAAAATGACATCTCAATTGTACAAATTAAGGTTGACCACGACTAGATAAAAATTTCAAAATATGTGACATTTTAATTTTAACATTGTTCACAGTCGTGATATTGCAATCTGTATTGACAGTGTCACTCAGATATCCAAGCAAGCGTGGATCATTGATTGACGATTTATTACATCGTACATTATACTTTATCTTCGGAACACGGACAAATGAGACAACTGGTCTTGATTTGTATCTGTACCAAATGAAGTCCAAGATAATGGATATCAATGTTCTGTCCATATAATGTAAAAATTTGACCAAGGCAAGTAGAATCTCCTGTCATATAAAGCTTAGTGGTAATTATTTACGTTAACCTATCTTCATTGGCTACCTCCAGGGGGAAGCACTGTCGCATACATGGCCGATGATAGAACAGCCTCGTTATGGAATCACACTGGACGAAACATCTCCGATGTCCACCATGTTGTTTGCTATCACATTTCCAAGTGTAACGTTTTGTCCCGGGGCATGTGTACACAAATAATTAACTTTATTTCATAATGTTTATGTTGTGTTTCATTTCAGTTCTTGTGCCCATACAGTCTGAGGCCACCCAGTCCTTCCTTTGTTTTTCTTTTCTGAACTTGAGGTGTTACTGTTTTCTAGATCAGAACTCAAGAGCGCCTGCAAGTAGAAACGTATACAGTATTTAAAATAATGGCTTATACACAGAGCTGGGGATTTTTAAGTCTTTGGGATAAGCCGTGGCATCAGATGGCCGCAGAATAACAGCGACCCGACCCACGGCAGGTGCCCACAGGTCTCACAAGGAGCCAAGTTACTGAATATGATAACAATGAAGGCATATAATTAAGATCAAATCATAAACATGATAAATGGATAATATGAAGATTACTTTTGCTAAACTTGTTTAACAGTTTGACAGTTAAAACAATAGTTTACAGATAATAAATATTAAAAGGCTGATTTTTAATTGACAGTGTGTTACAAAAAAATTTCTTTGATGTTACACGAAGGCTAATTTTTACAACCATCCAGTATGATGAAATTAATGACCATAGCGGGATTTTATATCGATATAATATCAATCTCTGTACCCCTCAAAATCAGGCGATCGCGTCCTATTTTGAAATATAATATTGATACTTAGGATATTGGTCCAAACCACCCCGAGCGGCCTACTTAACATATTTAAACATGATATCTTTTTTAAACTTGCGGGGTTTGAATATCATCAAAAGATCTAAGATATTATCAAATTCCAAGAGTGTTCTAGTTTTCGGTAGCTTCGTATTATGACTGGGAAGCTCAAGTGGCAATTGAGAAGTAAAGATTTTCTCACGCATTATTTTATATTTTCTATCATAATTGTCCGCATCTGGTTTTAGAGGATAAGTTGAATTACACTTAAAGTGTGAACTATTTATCGGGGTATATGGATGGCTCGCCCCTGGATCGCATATGGCAACGGTGGTGTTGTAGATGGGGTTTCTCATGCCACCATTGATGTTGGCGGTGCAGTTTTTGGTGTACTGATAGAGAGCTGATTACACTGTGAGGTCTAGTGGGGTCACACCGTCGTGAGGTATAATGGGGTGACACCATCCTGGGGTCTAGTGGGGTGACAACGTCGTGTGTTATAGAATTTCAAATGGGGTGACGTACATTTGATAGTGGCATGACTGAATTGTTTCATTTTACGTTTAACAAAACGGCGTGATTGTTGAATTTTCCTGGGTATTTGAGTTCAGATATTAGTTCACATTTTTCGGTTGATTTCATAGGACACATCAGTTTTATAAAATACTTGGATATGGACTATGCCCATGAGTATTGAGAACAAGTTTTAAAGTTAACGCTATTTTAAGAAAATTGGACTTGTCCATGGGAGAGACCGTGTAGCACTGAATCACACTTATTGTATCACATGGTAATAATTATGTATCGAGAAATATATTTCCCGATTGAGAAAATCGAATATTTTATCAAATTAAACAACTGTATAAGAAAGTCATAATCATATTATTGCGCATCTGGAAAATAACACCCCTTGTTAGCAATCTTAATAACGAGCAACCGATGGTGGAAACTATCCCCGATGAATTCCGATAATTCCCCGATGATTTGTTAACTCTTGAATTAGTAGCATTTGATCGTAAAATAAATGTACATAAATTCCAATTAATTAAATTATGATCTTCCGCCTCAATTATAACAGTTTATTCCCGGTTTGTAATTATTGATAATTGTATGATGAATGTCATGATTTGTAACAAGCCTAATAAAGATGCGTATCATTAAGTCAAACATTCTGTTCTTACAAAGATACATATGTTTCGTTTACTTGATGCTGAAATAGGTTCTCATTTAAGAAACGATACGTTGTCATCATCTTGGAAATCATAAAAATTAAGTATTCAAGTTTGTGTATTGTCCTTATAATTAAGACTCGAAGAAATAGCCCAAATTAACCATCTAGTTAACCGTTCCAATGACCTTAAAATGGATCCGGAGCAAAATCTTTAAAAATTTTCTCATGTAAACTGAAAGAGATCGAACTGATAATATCTATTTATGGTTGAGTTTTATCCACCATTTTTTCTTTCGTAAATAAAACACGGAACATTTCATAAACAATATCGAAGTAACATAAGGTAATTAATTAATTTTTTTAATATAATGGACCTTTACAGTTAAGAATATCGTAATGAGGAACCGTTGTTTTTGTTATCGACAAACATTTTCAATATAACCTTGCAAATCGTGCATTGATAAATCGACAAAATTCTTTAAAACACTATCTCAAATGTTCGTAATTCTCGTGAAATTTACCGTACGTAATTTCATCCGGGTTCCTATTATAACTCAATGTTTTATATTACTGTTATTTCAAACAAAAGAGGATGCAAATGGAACGTTTATTTTATAAAGGTGTTAGTGGGTTCATATTTATGGCATTGTTTAGCTAACTTGTCAGATAGTCATTATAGGATGCCTCTCTTTATGAATTGTTTGTGTGAGAAAAATGAACAGATGTATTGTAGGGCTAAATGAGGATATCAACTGTTCTAAATACTGTTTCTACACACACTGACGCCCATTGTAGACCGTAAATCCCAATGAGTGAATCAGGCTAATAACTTAAAGTGTGTAGTCAGGGTCGGAGCCGGAATAAAAAATTAGGCAAGGCAGATTTAGGCTAAGTGGGGACGGGTATAGTAATTCATTTAGACTTAATTTTCAGTTTTAGTTAAAAAACGTCGGGAAACTATATTTCTGTAAAATTTTAGTGAGGCATTTGGGTGACTTGCCTCACACTTTCGACAAGTTATTTTCTATCGGTCTTATTTGAGATCGACATCATTCATACGGTATGATACATAGGCATGAATCAGACTCGGTTAACTTTAACAAATAAATTCGATCATTGAATATCACTTCCCCTAAAGAGTGATTCAGTCCCAAAATTTGCTGACATATATAACTGTAAATATGCATATTCAATTTTGGAATTTTGTACCAAGAAACCTCTCGTCACTTATCCCATGCTGTCTATTTCGTCGAAATAAAACAATTTACATTTCTGTTGCATCATGCACAAAAATTATTTTTTTATTTGATAAGCGATATTTCGATTAAAATTATAACCATTATTCTGAACAATCATAAACAATTGCAACAATTAAAGAATTCGTTTTATTGGGTAATTAATGCGTACTTTCATGTCGTTTGTTTATTTATCCGACTTGGTGGTCATTTCACGGTTGAGCGTTTGTTATAGTAAATACAAGTTTAACGATAATACAACAACTTCTAATGCCAAGCAAAGACAAAACCGTCTCCACTTTACTATCACCACATGCTAAAAGTACCCTAGTCTCCTAAAATGCTCCGTAATAATTATTTTTTGCAGCTGGGATCCAACGCAATCCTATTTAGGGGACTAGACCTAGAAGACATTGGGATAAAGTTTGTTCATTAAATGGTCATCTTATAAAACTGTTTATTTATCTGCGGTGTTGGAAGATAATTTTGGAAGATAATGCCGAGACTCATCAGACAAACTCCCAGAGATTTTCTCAGAAGTTCTTGAAGTGATTTTAAGAAGTTGATCGATATGAACAGAACATTTGCTTCTTGAGCTAAAAGAATAAAATACGCTATCCCTTTAACAAATATATTAAATATATTTTCCTATAATTTAAAATGGTATAAAATTATAAAGAACTAATCGTGTTGGATGAAAATAAACTTACTTTGCAAGTGAATAAAATTATAAAATATAAACGTGTACGATCAAAAGAAGTCTTGTCTGGATGTAAAATGTGTTTCAAAGATTTAACATGTTTGTACTCAATTATAGAATATATTTTATCTTCACATTTGAACGCTGTATAGATATTTCGCTTATTGTTATCATTGGGAAATTACAAACTACATCGTATCATGGCGACTAAAAAACTTTTCGGTCGAGAGTTTCCCCAGAAGACGCCAGTATGATGATACGAGTTAGCCAGGCTGTCAGACTGAATTTTCCCTTCAATTTTTATTAGTTTTTTCTAACTCATACATACGTTATTTAAAAGTAACAAGTTGTATTTTGTACGTATGGATAACGTTGACAAACAGATACTATACTTTAGCAATGAAATATTAGGGCGATTATTATACGATATTATTGTCGTTTCATGACACAATCATTTGAAATCATGAAGTCTTTTTTTGATAAGATATAGGACCTCACAAACTGATCAACATGTATCTTTCTGAAGCATTTTTTACTTGAGTGACTTTACAACCCTATGCTCTTTGCTGAGATTAATGGCCTCAGGTCTACTAAATAGATACTGATAATAGAGCAATACTTTAACGAGACGATTTAGTTTTTACTATGCTGTTTTGTTTTGTGAAGCGAACTCCAAAAAACAATTTACCATGAAGTAGTCTGGTCTCTGCGCATCATTAGTTCTATAGGTAAATTACGACAATATCCGGCGTATTTCCTGTTTTTGAGATACGTTTAGAGTAGAAGATTTAATTAAATTATCTCTTTTGGTAAAAATAGAGTATTAAATAACGCCAAGATTTCTACAGAGTTTACCAACTGGAAAATTTCAGGATTGAATGACGAGCAAACATCGCTCTAGGCCATATCACCCTATTGTCTAATTGGTTATTAATTGCTTATTAATTAATAACTGATTGTTATTTGTGGTAGCGGTAAATGACCCTTACCCGATTCTATGCCAAATATTATTTCTCAAAGTTCAAAGTGGTTTTAATCTTATTGTCTAATTACTGATTATTTGTGGAAGAGATTAATACGATAATCGACTCTGCTTTACCCTGGTGTGGATATTGCATGACACAACTAAGTAAGAGTACCTCCTCCTATAACAATATAAAATGAAATATTTCTTAAAGATATCCATGTCAACCTTAGCTATATTTCTGAAACCTTCTATATGCGCTTAATGGACGAATTAATTCCCAAACAGGAGGACAACTTAAAAATTCATTTCATTCAGTACTAAAATGGTATTAGAATTATATCACTTGAATCTTTATTACATCGATGTGGAACAATTTGAAAAAGAAATAAATGTATCTAAATGTTTCAAGTTTGCAACAATGTGATTCTGTTTTCTTGACACACGTGCAGTAAATTAGACGCACTCAAGCATGGATGCAAAACCCCTCCAGGAAAAATAATAATTTCACGAAGCATAATATGAATTACACCATGTAAACAGAAATTTGGAAACTGCTTTTCCCCATACATATTACAACATTTTTGAAAAAATACCCAATCATTAATATTATTGTTGATATATATCAAGAGTGTTTTCACGACTGTTGGAGAATTTCAAAATGTTTGATCGGGACGCTTCACTTTCGCAGGAGTGTGCCATCGTCGAGTGATATCTTAATATCTCTTATAACCATCTATTTAATGATCAATCATAGACACTTGATCACAACAAGTAAAGCGTATTTCAAATCGGATATTCTCATGTGCAATTCTAGTGTCTTCATGGCTCCCTTTGTTGCATTGATATAGTTGAATTATGATTTTTCAAAATGCATCATATTCTAATTAATGATCAACAGAGAAAGTTCCGAAAGAGTGATTGATTGGCGAATTACGGGACTTGTACTTTTTCGATTTCTATCGAGCAATTATTGGTATTTTAATTAGCAAAGGGGAACAAATACTAGAATAAAGCCATCAAAGAAAAACAACTCTAAACATTCTACTTTCTCAGGATTGCGAGCGTATGTTACTATAATTAACTACTTTGTGCTATTGTTATACAAATTGAAATCTGAACATTTATAATATTTACATTTGAACAATCGTAAAGCGTATACTAATTTATTTTGATTTCGATAAACTAACTCCTTTTTTGAGAGCTTAGAAAGTTAATATCAACATGGCAAATCAAGTCGTAAATACAAAACAATTATTGATACTATAACTTAAATAATAATTTAATTTGAATCAATATTTTTAATTTAATTACATTCAATGTTCTCATCACATATTAGGAGATATTCCTAATAATTGTTAATATTATTTTGATTATAATTCAATTTGGTTAAATAATATTTATTTAATCTATTTTGTAAACATGTTTAATCTTTTAAGTTTTCACCAGTAGTTAAATTTCAAACCATCTGCAAAACATCTGAAACAATTTCAAAGTGTAAATAATTTAAGACGTTCTTATCAGTTAAATGGTCAATAAAGTCTGGTATCCATGAATCAAGTTCTCTGTTGTTTCCTGGATTATCGTCCCCAAATCCCCCATTATCCATAAAGATCAAAGAAACTTCAGAAGATGATCTAATAATCTGTTAATCCGCGCACAATATTTTAACAGCCTATCTAATTAATACATGTAACTTCCTGATCATTAATATATGGTGGCCTTTTGATTTCATTAAATTAAATCAATATTTTATTAATTTATTCTAATAGATTGCTGGTGTCCCATTGAAGTTCAGATTATCTAAAATGACGTCAAATATTCCAAATTATTTATTAAATCGTGTTTTTGCATCGAATTTTCTCTTAAACTAGATAGACTAAATATAATTTTGTATTAATTTTACAAGGTTAAATTCACAAGGCATAAATTTCCCAAATTATTTAAAATTGAAGCTAATAATGTATCAATTATTGATTCAATACTGTCATGTTTATTTCTAATTAAATTCTAATTCTAATTAAATTACATTTAGTGGCAGAGATCGATGGATGAAGAAGAAATAATTAAGATATGAAAATGTAAATAAATAAATATAAAGTGGAATTGTTCTTGATAATTTTGACTCAAACGAGTGGATATGTGTAATTTTAAGGATAGAGAACATTATTTTTAAAGATAATTATATACAGTATCCATAAACTACCAAAATAATCTTACCATTTCTTTTCGCTTTTTCTCCTCCCTGCTTTCATTTTTCCTGGATAAATCAGCTTTGAATTCTTCGACATTTTTATCGTCTTCTTTATTTAAAACGTCTGTGAGGTATGCAATGTAACTGGTTGCGAGTCTTAAAGTTTTGATTTTAGACAGTTTTGTATCTGAGGGTACATTTGGTATACACCCTCTAAGATTTGCAAAAGCTGTATTTATACTAACAGTTCTTCTTCGTTCTTTTTTATTTGCTGTATTTTTTCTTTTCACCACGCGTACAATCTGTCCATCGGGGCCTATAGTGTACCCCATACGATGCATAGCTTCCATTTGACAATTAGGATCTCCCCCGGGAGACGGTGAATTTGTGTATCCCCCATAAACGTTCACGTTCTCCGAAATAGGCATATCTGGGCTTAGTCCAGGGGGACTTACCATCCAGTTCTGGAAATAAGGTTCGGAATGCGTGTGCGCGAACTGCGATTCTTGGTACCTGGTTTGTGGATAGGCTGCGTAATACTCGTGATGTGGCCCTGTAGAATGAAAGTTTTGGGGATAACCACCCACCAAACTCATCTTGAAGTCTTATATATATCTCCCCTTGAAGTACTTCTTGCTATCTTGTCCGAAGTGGAGTATCTCTAGTGGGCTCGCCTGGATAACTTGTATCAGGACGGAAAACACGACTACTCAGCGGTAAACTGTTCTCTTTATTAGCTACACACTGGCTTATTCTCCTCTGGTTCCGATACTTGTATAAACCTGCACCGAACACTCAAAATGCTACAATTTACTGTCTCTGGTTCGTATTAGAATCACTGCTAAATATTTGATGTTTGATAGTTTGATCTCTGACGTTTAATTTTCTGTGTAGTACCAGATGGACGATTATATATTGAGGATATGTCATGAAACGACCAATCAAATGCTCGGATTTTGTTTTTCTCAGTACATAATGAGGTTTACTGTCTCCGATATCTTAGCCTATTTTCAGTCCTTATAAACATACTAAAGTAGATGGATTACAGTTACGTTACAATAAGGGGGACTAAAATGCTTACTTTTCGGACCCACATGCCAAGGGAACCTTACCCTACCTCTGGGACTTTAAATCAAATTAGTCCGGACTTTATGGCAGAAAATTTATGGGTTCTTTCCACGGTGGCATTTTTCTGACATGTCAATGTGAAAGTAAAATGGGTCTTGTTACCCAAGAAGTCACTTTTTAGGCTTGGAACACGCGCACCAGGAATTTAATGGAGACAGAAAAGATAAGAATACTAAGTTGAATTTTTTGACATTAATCAAAATTGTACTGCGATTAGTAAAAATACAGACATAGTTTGGTAGCTTTTGGGAGGTTTACTTTTACTAATGAAATGAGAAAACATATCTCAATCGTCCATTTAAACAAACGCTCCTAAAATACAAATTTATGTTGGTAGCTTCTCGGAGTTTTACATTTACGTAACATCTTTACAAAAATCGAAAAATATCTTGATCGTCCATTTAAACCAACCCTCCTTAACTTAACAGGAATAACCTTTTGTGCAATTCTCGGCTTGTACATCGGTGAACATATGGTTTCCAGGGGTTGTTTTTAATTAGTTGTGTGCTCAACATGGATAATTCAATAACAGCAAACCTTTGTTTGAAAGAACACAAAAATAATTTTGAAATCCTTCCCAAAATCAGTGATATTTCAAGGCTTTGGATTTTTAAAAAACATTTCATGGTGACCGAAAAAATTAAAAGAATATCCATCCTACTTTCAGCTGCAGGACGTTTCATTTGTTCCAGTTTCATCTTCCTTACCTTTATATTTATAAGTGCCAAGATGATAAGTGAAAAGGAAAAATATGTAAAAATAGGAGCACAATGAACAAAGGGACAAACCTAAAATACCCCTCCCTTCACCCTCCAAAATCAACACAATTCCCCAAAATATGTTCTATTTTGTTCCTTCTCGTAATTTGCCTTATTTGCTGGCTATATTTAGCAATCAAGTCCTATTTAAAATATTTATAGAAGAGAACGGATGCTACCTTAATTACAGATTATTGTAACGTCTTAGTCATTCTGATGTCGGCTTAGCCAATTACTTAATTAGAGTTGATTATTTTCAAATAAACATAGCTTAGTGCGGAGCCAGAGGCACGTGTTCCAGATAGGAATACACCAACCAGGAGTGAATGAAAAACACACTACTCTGTTAGTTATAAGTTGTAGTACAATGGACCTATTACCGTAAAAAACTTACAGCGTTTATCTTTTATGTAATGGTATTCTGGATAAGTGAATTTTGTCATTTAATTATATATAACCCCAGTAATCCGGCCACATTAATTCGATGCAAGAATAAAGTTGGCTCGGAGTTCTAAGAACCTGAAAGAAATTTATCTATTTGTTTATAAAGCACAATACTTCATTTTAATTTATTTTACATTTCCGCATCTAGATCTAAGTCACGTTCATTGTTTATGGTGTCGATGCCCCTGTTAATACCCGTGTGTAAGACACATTTGAAGGTGGTCTTATCTGGGGCTGTTTTATCATGGACTATTTTTAATTTCGTGATGAAATAAAAACTGTTATGAAAGTTTTCCACAAGTAGTCATCAATTAAAGAAAATCTATTTCAATTTTCTTTCACTCTTGTTACAGGAAGTTGAGAATACACAAAATCATGAATTATCAAGATATTGAAAAAACACAGACATATCATAACGTGTGAAACAATTCCAAGTGATTATTTTACATTAGTCTTCAGTTTTATTAATTCACGGCTCTTGTATCTTACCCGCAGATAAACCACGACGGCGTGCGTCATTTTACAATCAAAATGGTTTGGAAAAAGCGGAATTAGCAAACGAAAATTAAAAATACTAAAAATCGTCGCTCTTTTGTTAAACAAGAAATTGGTATCATTCAATGTGCTTCCTTATTAATAATTCACAGAGAAAATGAGTGTAAAGTGAAATTTTAGGATTAGGTCGGCGCTTGTAAGTTCTCTCACCAAAAGGAAATACTAAGGATAAACAAACCAATGTATAATGACTTCGCTGACGCCAATAGAAGTATGTGCCTAAACCGTCTAAACCATACTACTAATTTAACGTCAGAGTAGGATAATTGTTTATATCTAAATTACACCAGTTTTGATAATTTCCGATAATCTCCCGCTATGCGATAAGCTCGTTCGGACTTCAATGAAGAATACAATATATGCGGTTGCTATGACACCAGGAGACGACATGCAAAACCGCATCACAGTTTATTGCAGATACTTAAAAAAACACTGCACATTATATTTCCCACGTTCACATCCATGATTTTAATATCAATAAATGATCATACAACTTTAATCTAAAACGTGGATTTCAACTTAAACTCACCTGATAAGTAAACTTTCAATAAACCATAAAAAGCGAAACTAAAAACAACAAAGATACCACGAAGAAAATAAAACCCAAAATTGAACGTAAAATAGATACATTCAGATCTAATCTTAGACTAATTAAGTCTTTAACGATTCAAACGGAGTCTAAACCTGGGATTATGAGGGAGACCAATCGCTAAATCAAAGACCTCAATCTTTACAGTGCTGATTCTACGCCACTAAGTCCTATCAATACAAGCGTATCTAAGCCCCTAAAGATGTTACACGAAATCCGAGCGGTTTAATTGCTAAATAATATGACCAAGAATTTCTCTGCTAATTTTAACCACACGGGTTCAGGGTCTAACTGAGATAACGAAAAGGACTACAGTAAAATGTCTCCACATAGCTCTCAAAGGTGAAATATGATTCTAGAAAATTGCAAAATCGGTGTCCATGTCGGTGTGAATTTCACTCAAATGTCAAATTTATCACCGTGATGAAATCTTAATCCCAAGACCTCCAAGGAAAACGTAAAGAAAATGTGCCCTCGCAACCCTATTTTGTTTTGACAAGGCTCCAAATGATTTAGCCAGCATCTAAAACATTTGTCTAGGCTATTAAGTCATCCGTGATAAGAATTAAGGTTTATTTATATAACTCATTGGATCTGTTTGAAGAAAGATAGCTTACATCTGAAGCAGTTTTAACCCAAGAAAGGCGAACTGAGAATTTTCGTCGAACTGCGCGTAAAATAGTCCCTGAAAAAGGTCTTTATATCATATGTGAAGAAGTAATAACCGAATTTTAAAAATAGTTTTTTATGCTCAAAAAGTTAGATTTAAAATGTACTCAATGTCCCATAATCTGATAATACCAACAAGACGAAACCGATTTATCTTTGAGTTCATTAGCATTTAGAGAATCGCACAAGAATTATGCAAAAATGCTGCTTCGCGGAATGAAATAACATCCGCGCTCAATTTCACGTGTCAGAGTCAAATTACGCCAGGCTTCAACACGTATTTATATGTTAATCCTCGGGCTGAGAATACGCCGTGAAATTATTTCAGTGATAATGTTTGACTGACATTCTGACACGGATCCAATTAGAATTGTTATACCTGGCAAAATGGCGAAAGTGACACAAGCGCTGACACAACGAACAAGAAGTTTGAGGTCCGATTTACATTTGACTGCCAAAATGACATAATGAGAGATTCGGTGCAACTAATTAAAATTAATTATTCCACGACGAAAGCGCGTATTAATCTGAATACATCATTTCATTGTTCCTGTGTTATATTCGAAAAGAAAATCACACCCATGGTATACGATTTACATGTATATAAAGTAGTTGGTGCATAATACATGTATGACTTGTACTGTGCAATACGTTGGACGTGATTGGTAGGGGGGGGGGGGGGCTCTACTTCCTAAAATAATTCTTTACTTAATGTTCTAGGCTATGGAAAATAGGATAAGATTACAATGTAAGCCCTATATCTAATTCTTATTCTTGAAATTATCAATCCACAAAATATAAAATACTCGAAGACAGTTATCGAGTGGAGTGAAGGGGTGGATCAGAATGATTGATGAATTGTATTTTAGTGTTTTCAGTCAAGGCCTGTAGCTAGCTTTTGTTAAAGGGGGCTCAATTTTCAAAAAAATCCCTTTGGTTCACATTTGACAACTTTGGCCCAAAATCACTGCTCAGAATAGTGAAAACTGCATGATTTTGAAAGACTTTGTCCAAGGGGGGGGGGGGGGGGGGGGGGGGGGGGGAGGGGGGGGGGTTGCTCGAACCTGCCCCGAAATGCCCCTTGGCTACGGGTCTGCATGCTCTTGCCCAAACCTCAGAAAATGCATCCAGAAGCGCTATACTGCTTCGGGCATTCAAATCGTTTTAAGAGTACGTAAGTGAACGTGTAGAATTATAAACTTCCAGATACTCCTCTCAGTTTTTTTCCAGAAACCTTATTACCTTCAAATATGATATCGCGTTGACTTAATTTTGAACATTTAATGACAGATCAAGATTATTCTTACTTGCATATGGTCTAATATTTTCCAGGGCTCAACTTGAGAGTTCTTTTAAATAAATATTTATGATAATACTACTTGAATAAATTCTAAACAACACTGACCTCTATAATTCAAGATAAATTTAAAAATGAAATAAAAATAAACGGGACTACTCTAAATGAACGTGTAATTCGATTTTGTCTAAAATATAGATGTCACTAGTACCCACCATCGTTCTTGATTGGCTTCTATAGATGGCAGCACATAACTGTTATGAAATGATCAGGTGACCAATACATTTCAAATTACGATCACTCACTACCCTATTGTTTCATCATCTTCATTCTGAAATATTTGTCACAAGCTTGTCAGAAACAGAACGTAAAGATATGAATTCCACAACAATGTGTTAGGAATATCCCAATCAAGCTAGATAAGTATTGAA